ACTGGGATTTCCTGGCTTCACTGCGTTTTCCTTGTGTCTGTGCCCTCCCATCCCTCATCTCAGATTGAAGACTCTGAGAGGACACTGGCCCCAATGAGATGGTTTGACTGTTCCTCCTGAGAACTTGAAGTTCTACGTTCAGTGCAGCTTCCAGAAGGAACCCACCATCTGCTGCTCTGTAGTCCCCACCAAAGTTCACCTCTCCTCTTAGTAATGTCACCTTCTGCCCCTTGACACATCTCTGGGACATTCTAATTCATTCCCCTTATGCTTAGGCAACCAAAAGAACCTTAGTAGATATTTAATAGCAAGGAAGAAATGGTGACATGCAGTTACACAGTTGACCTTTCGCTGTATAACTCTGCAAAACTTAGTGGTTAGAGCAACTATGACTTAAGACTTGTTGGGATTCTGGGGTGAGCTGGGCAGTCCCACCACTAGTGCTGGAAAGACTCAGGTGGCCACTGCATGGCAGGTGGAGCAGACAATCTAGGCTGCCTGGATCATGTACAGACAGCTGGAGCGGCCTCAGAAGATCCGGGACATCTGCTGCCCCATCCTAAGATGCTAGCTAAAACTCAAGCTGTGAATGCCAACTCAGGCTGCAGAGAGGCCCCGTGCTAAGCCAGCTAGCAGCCATGTTCAGTCTGCAACACAGTCACACCCACACCTAGTGTGATACCAGTTTTTTTCTAAATATTGTTTTAGCTATAGATAGACACAATATTATCTTTATTTTATTTATTTATTTTTTTGTGGTGCTGAGGATTGAACCCAGTTCCTCATTTGTGCAAGGCAAGTGCTCTACTATTGGGCTACAACCCCAGCCCCATGATACCAGTTTTTTAATAACTCAGAAATGGAATTAGAAATAATCTTATTTTGTAAAATTTGTCCCTATTTTCCATAATTAAATGTTTTGTTTTTGTTCTTTTAAAGGTGTTATTACATCAAGACTTTCCATTAGAAGTGACAAACAATTTATACCAGCTTGGGAGGTCACCTACTGGCTCAGGTAGTTAGATACAGGGTTTCAATAACATTAGGACTTGGCTTCCTTCTGTCTTTGAACTCTGCTTTCCTGTTAAGGGCTTCCCTCTTAGTCTAGAAATGGATTTCCTCCCACAGATGGAGAAAGAGCCACTTGCAGCCCCAAATGATGTTGTCTCAACTAAGGACCATCAGCAAGAGAACTTCCACTTACAGAGGAAAGTTACCCAGTCCACGCTCAGGTGGTGGCAGGTACCTGAGTGGAAAGGTCAGCTATGCCCAGGACATGTGCCCATCCCTGTAGATGGTGCTAAGGTGGAAGGCAAGAACTGACAGTCCAACGAGACCCATATGGAACAGAGAAGACAGCATGCAAATGACAAATATCCATCAATATATTTGTCTTAGTGTTTAATTAAGAAGAATGAGAAAGATGGGATTTGATAGTTCTTGGGGGTAGGGCTCCTGGGATATAGTTGACCTTAAGCAGGACACAACTACTAAGAAATCTAGCTGGGTACAGTGGCGCACACCTGTAATCCCAGCGGCTCGGGAGGCTGAGGCAGGAGGATGGAGAGTTCAAAGCCAGCCTCAGCAATAGAGAGGCACTAAGCAACACAGTGAGACTCTGTCTCTAAATAAAACATGAAATAGGAATGGGGATATGGCTCAGTGGTCAAGTGCCCCTGATTTCAATCCCTGGTACCCCTTAAAAGAGAGAGAGGGAAGGAAGGGAGCAGGGGAGAGAAAGAAGGAAGCAAAGAAAGAAATTTGCTGTGATCTGAGAGTTATCTATGAAATTGTGTCCTCTATGAGGGATGTGAAGTGCTCTAGAACCCACTCATGCAGCGCTGCACAAGCACCAGTGTGGAAGAAGTTCAGTCTGTTCTATGTGTGAGATTAGGACCCATGAGCAGAGATGACCAGCTGTAAGTAAGGCAGATGTCACTGGCTGGGAACTGGGGTAAGCAAGAGAAAACTGACCTCAGGGGCTCACAGAAGACATGGAGTCAGTGGGAAATGGACAGACACCCACCAAAGACTCAAAGCAGGTCCCAGCAGAACAGGTGAAAGAAGATCTGCTCCCTCAAGCATGGGGGAGGGATATTGTTTTAGTCAGCTTTCTCACTGCTGGGACTGAAAGATCTGACCAGAACAATCCTAGAGGAGGAAGAGTTTATTTAGGGGCTTAGGGCTTCAGAGGTCTCAGTCCATGGACAGCAGGTTCTATTCCTCAGGGCTCAAGGTGAGGCTGAACATAATGATGAAAGAGTGTGGTGGAGGGAATCAGCTCACATGATGATCAGGAAATAGGGAAACTCCACACTCCAGATAGACAATATATAACTCAAAGGCACACCCCCAGAGTCCCACCTCCTCCAGCCACACCCTACCCACCTTCAGCTACCACTTTAGTTCATCCCATCAGGGGACTAATTCACTGATTGGGTTAAGGCTCTCATAATCTCTCATTTCTCCTTTAAACCTATTGCATTACCTCACATATGAGCTTTAGGGGGATTCCTCACATCTAAACCATAATAGAGACTTCAATGAGAGCAGCCTGGGAGGCTACCCTGGGAAGGAAGTTCTGATGCTGGACTCTGCCGCAGTCTGGCTGGGCACAAAATCACGAGCCACTCACACCTTGTAGATTCAAACAGCAACTCTTTATTCCCAAACTGTCACCGGCACTCTACACTCATGTTCTGGGGAAAAATCCACACCTCCACCAGGCTCTGCATCCCAAATACCCTCTGAATCCTTCAAGAACTCAACGGGAACTCAAGGAGTGGGCACCTGGAGGCAACAGGATACGCCCTATTCCCAGCAGGATACACCTTAAACCTGGAACCACCCTAAACCCAGATCGCCCTAAACCCAGATCCATCCTGAACCCGGATCCGCCCTGGTCCTTGAGCAAGGTCACCTTTCATGCAATGTCACTGCAAATGACCTGGGTCCAAGGCAAGCCCATTTCCACAATGGAGAGTCCTCCCTCTAAGCAACATGGGGTAGGCTGACAAGGAAATTGCCATGCGTCATTCCTACTTGGCTATGGCTCTCAGCAGGACTCCCTAAGGAAAAGAAAAACAATTGATATTTGCTACACAGGCATATAGATTCAACATAAGAAAACCTGCTGGCCAGTCATGGGGGCGCACACCTGTAATCCCAGTGACTTGGAAGGTCGATGCAGGAAAATCACAAATTGGAAGCCAGCCTCAGCAATTTAGTAAAACCTGGTCTCAAAAATAAAAAGGGCTGGGGATGTAGCCCAGTGATAGAGCACCCCAGGTTCAATCCCCAGTTGTGAAAAAAAAAAGAAAATAAAATGGGAAAACTGCTGGTGACTAGGCCTGACCACAGTGGGCCAGACATGAGCAGTGAGAGTTCACCCTCTATGCACCATCCTAGGCTCCCACCTCCAAGAGCCCTCCTCCCTATGCCTCCAGCACTGCCTCTCCTCCTGGGTATCACCCCATCCTGTCTGCAGGACTTGTCCTAAGTCAGTGAGGCCACAGTCCATGAGCTTCCTCCACCCCCATTTCTCTCCTTCTCAGAAAGCTCTTCTCCATGTGGCAAGCTCTGCTCCCACCTCTCCTGGTCCCTCCCACTCTGCTCCCTCCATCAGCCCTCCCAGAGTCCCTCCACGTTGCCAGAAGTTCAATCCTTGTCCCCAACGCTGATCCAATAACAAGGACACAGTTTTGAGAAAAAGGAAAAAGGTTTATTACTTTGCTAGCAAAGGAGAAACAGAGGGGACTCCTGTCCCAAAGGCTATGCTTCTGCCCATCAGCAGGAACAGGGGGCTTTTAAAGAGGTGATTCAGAGAAAATAAGATTACAGAGGAGAGATTAGGGAAAAGATCAGGGAAATGAAGATCAGGGAAATGAAGATCAGGGAGGAGGTCAAGGAAACAAAGATCAGAGAAGAGATCGAGGAGAAGTTGTTTGGGGAAAAGAAAAAAAAAAAACACATGTAAATTTCAAAGCCACAAGAGATATAGTCAAAGCATCAAGTGAACCGCTGTTACATCCAGAGACACCTCCCTGCTTCTCTCTGCATGTCTGTCCCTGTCTCGGTCTCTCCTTTCAGTCCCCCCAACACAGACATCCCCAGGAGCCCCTGTCTACTCCACCCTCTTCACGAACCCTCCCCCCATGTAGGTGCTAGAACATTTCCCCAGCCTCCCCTGCAGCCTGGGCGCAGTGCTGAGATCCAACCTCTGCTCCGCAGCAGCTCCTGGCCCTTGCCTGGATCCCGGTCAGCCAGGGCCAGGAGTAGCTCCCTGTAAGAGGAGGACACCACAGCTGAGTCCCTACAGCAGCAGCTGCAGTACAAAGACCAAAGTACAAAGTGCTGCAGCCTCAGAGCAGAGGTGCCCCCTGGAGCCAGAACTTCCTCTCAGAGCTCCAAGCCTGCTGCTTCAGCCCTTCCAGAGAACCTGGGAGCCACTGGTCAGCTGGATTTAGCCAGATGGATCTCTGTGATGTGCCCATAAGTGCTTTCTCTCAGCACACTGGACTGTCCCAACCCCTTCCTCTGTGGTAGGCTTTCCAGCGCCCTGGAATTCCTGCACGTTCCCCTCTTTAAACTCTCTCACCTCTCTTCACTCACCATCCCTGCTTGGGACCAGGAGTCTGCTCAATGTCCAGCCCCTTGCTGGTCTCCCCACCCTTCCAGCCCACTGGCCATGGGTTCTCCAGCTTAGCTCGTCAACCTCTCCTGCTCATGCGTCAGAGCCACCTCTTCCTCCCCGCACCCCAGCCCTTCTGCTGTCCCAGTTTCTGCGGACAGCATCATCATTCTCCCAGGTCCAACCAGGGAGTCAGCAGTCTCTGAGGTCTGCAATCACATGCTGGGACCACCACAACCCCTATCCCCTAGTTGGGGCTGACCAACACAGTTCTCAAGTGAGGGCACAATCACAAGCATGGAGCACCTTTGTGGGCCTGCAGAGAGAGAAGCCAGACCTGAACAGAGGGTCTGCATCCAGGCAGGCCTACCTGAGTGCTGAGCTCTCGGGGATTCCTGGTCCATATCTGCCAGGGAGCCACAGCTGATCCGGAAGGAGCTCGCCTGGGACTAGAGAAACCAAGAAGATGAATGTTGAAGACCTTCAACTGCAACACAAGCTGTTCAACTGACCCTTCTTTCCTGCCTGCAATGCATGAGGCTGGAAGTGCTCCAGCCAGGACCAGCCACACCTGCCCAGATGGTGAAGCTCTCAGGGAACACTGGATGCAGCCCTCTGTTGACAAACTGACTTTCTTTCTTACTGGTGGACACTGAAAACTATTTTCCTTCTGCTTCGGCTGCAGAATGTATAAGGCGGAGTGTGGCCTGTTTGTATGCACAACTCTGCTCTATCTTCTACTCTTACCTTTTCTTGCTTGATTTCCTCTCCTAATGATTCTATTTTTTGTATTATTTCTATTTTTAGAAGGTTTTAAATAATTTTTTTAACTGCTTGAAAACTGTTAACTCTCCAGAATGAACATAAAAGATTGGCATTTGCGGGCTGGGGATGTGGCTCAAGCGGTAGCACGCTCGCCTGGCATGCGTGCGGCCCGGGTTCGATCCTCAGCACCACATACAAACAAAGATGTTGTCCGCTGAAAACTAAAAAAATAAATAAATATTAAAATTTCTCTCTTTCTCTCTCTCTCTCTCTCTTTAAAAAAAAAAAAAGATTGGCATTTGCAATTTTTAACTCAATGAAACTTGCAGAAGGGCTGGAGATGTGGCTCAAGTGGTAGCGCACTCACCTGGCATGCGCAGGACATTGGGTTCCATCCTCAGCACCACATAAAAATAAAATAAAGATATTGTGTCCACCTAAAACTAAAAAATAAATATTAAAAAAATTGCAGGAGTTTGTAATATGAAACTCACATTGGAGGCAAACACGTTAGACATTTTAATTGGAAATCAATTCCAAAACAGATTTAAATTCTTCCTAAGTTGAGGAGGGATATGAGTAAAACTAAGGGGTATGAGTAAAACAAGGAATGAGTAAAACTAAGAATCAGTAGTTTGCGTTCCCATTCTTCAATACGGTCTGTGAATCCTGTAGGTGCTGGGACGAGGACAGGCCAAAGTTGGAAGGAGCCGCCTCTGAGCCTCATCCCCTGCCCACCTGTAGCTGGCGTGACTGCAACCCTGAGGGGTGTTGTCTACCCCAATGTGAATTTGGAATATTCAGCTTTGGAACCCCGTCATTGCACAGAACAGCTGGTGTGGGATCTCTTCCCAGTGAGCATGGCTGTAAGGATGAGGATGGACTGGCAGCACCAAGGTCCCCACCATCCCTGGCCTCAGGTGGCTGCCAGGTCCCAGGGGGCACTGGAGTCCATGCACAGTGGGTGGTGAGAGCTTGCAGTGTGCATAGCCATGCCAAGGGCAGGACATGGGCCACCGTGGCCTCAACCTCCAGGCTCACTGAAAGGTCTGTGGTTCCCAACTTTGAGAATTGCCAAAAGCTACAGACTCCACTCCAGAAATCAGGACCAAGCACTGCCTGCCTGCCTGCATGCGCATCCCTGCTGCTCACAGGCCCCAGGTAATAGCCTTTCTCCTGTTCCTCAGACAGCACCTAACTACAGCCACTACAAAGTTTTCAGCAGAAGCTTGCCATTTCATACCTACCAGAAATGCAGTGGGTGGGGGCCAGCCCAGAGGGCCATCAAGGGCCAGATCAAGCACACGGGCCCCAACCTACTGCACCCTTCACTGGTGTCTAGACGTTTCTAGAAGCATTCAACCTCTAATTTATAGTGGTTTGTCTTGGGTTTTTTACTTTACACCAGTATGAATGCAATATGCATGTAGAAATAGTACTTTAAATTTTCAGTTTTCACCTTTTCCCAGACTGGCCATGTACAGTATGAAGCTCTTAGGGCACTGGAGAGCAGCTGCTCCTGGTCAGCTGCCAGCACAAGGCACAGTGGCCCTGGGCAGGGTGCCTACTGCTGAGCCGGGATGTTCAGGGTCAGGTGTGGGAGGCCAACCTTACGGGTGACTGAGTTACACTCCCCAACTAGGTGCTGAGGCGCTCAGTCACAGAAATGGGTGTGTCTTGCTACAGCCCCATGGGTGAAGTTATGCTCACCTGTTCCTTTGTAATATAACCCCTTGCCCTGTTTAGGATAGAATCTTCCATAGAAGTGCCTTGTGTGTGTCCCCTCCTCTTACTGTGCCCTTGGGTGTGGCCTACCCAGGTGTCAGTCAACCTGCTGACAGTGGACATCATGAAGATAGACTCAGCCCCCTGAAACCTGACCCCTTGCCTCATTTGATTAGCTTCTCCTCAATAAAAGGGTCAGCGTTTGATCTCGCTCTCTCTCTTCCTGCGGATCCTTAAGGTCAGAGGAGCCGTCACAGCAACCCCAAAGAAAAAGGTATTTGTGTCTCTTGTGTGGTTATTTCATGCAGCCCAGTTAGCCCAGTTTGACTGGAGTGACCCCTGAGCCTTTTAGTTGTGAGAACAGAAACCCGGCAGTCAGGTACATCCAAGGCACTTCCAGCTGAAGATATCAGGGCGAAGCCCACATGCACCCAGGAGCGTCTCCCCGACATTCTACCACAATCCTACAAACAGCTCTGTATGCTTACTGGCCCCCTCAATCCTGAGTTAAGTAAATCTGTGGCATGATTATTATTAAATTTTTTGGTGGTGGGGGAGGTTACCAGGGATTGAACTCAGTGGCACTTGACCACTGAGCCACATCCCCAGCCTATTTTGCATTTTATTTATATACAGGGTCAAACTGAGTTGCTTATCACCTTACTTTTGCTGAGGCTGGCTTTGAACTCATGATCCTCCTGTTTCAGACTCTTGAGCGGCTGGGATTACAGGTGCATGTCACTGTGCCCAGCTGTGGCATGTTTATTCCAATAAATGAAAATTCTAACCGAAAATTGGGACTTAAGTGAGTCAAACAAAAATATTAGTCAAAGACAGAAGTAATCTGCTCACAGTTGTTGAGGAGAGAAATGGGTATGAGGACCTGGTGCACTGCAGAGGATGTGGCCTGGGAATTAGAGAGGCACAAGGCTCTGAGCCTGAGAGTGGGCCTCTGAAGGGCACTGAGACAGTTGAGAATCAACCAGATGGCAGTGGTACATGCCTGTCATCCCAAGAAGTTGAGAGGCTGAGGCAGGAGGATCACAAGCTGGAGGCCAGCCTCAGCAATTTAACAAGACCCTGTCTCAAATTAAAAAATAAAAAGTTGGGATTGGGGCTGGGGCTGGGGCTCAACGGTAGTGCACTTGTCTGGTCTGTTTGAGGCAATGGGTCCGACTCTCAGAATCGCATATAAATAAATAAAATAAAGGTCTATCAACAACTAAAAGAATAAAATAAAATAAAAAAGGAAGTATTTCCTCAATTAGTTGTAACCTTTAAAAATAAATAAAATAAAACAAAATAAAAAGTTCCAAGGTTGTGACTCAGCAGTAGAATGCCCAGGGTTCTATCCCCCTAAACACACACACAGTCATGAACCAGCCTCTCCAGTGGAGACCTGGGGCTGCTCTCAGGGCCCAACAGTTGTCCATCCCACCCTCCTCCTTCAGCCAACCTGCAACTTTTTTTTTTTTTTTTTCTTGGTATCTACTTGGATTGAACTCAGGAGTGCTTAACCACTGAGCCACATCCCCAGCCCTTCTTATTTTTTATTTTGAGACATGGTCTCACTAAGTTACTCAGGGCCTCGCTAAGTTGCTAAAGCCAGCTTTGAACTTGCGACTCTCCTGCCTTAGCCTCCAGAGAAGCTGGGATTAGAGATGCAGCCAGCATACCTAACCGTTTCCTGTTTCCTTTTGGTCCTGGCAGTGGCCTGATTGGCTCCACAGCAAGGAGGACTCACCTGTGTTTGGGAACAGTCCAGGGGCACCTGGCCAGTTTGAAGTTCTGACGGCAGGGGGTTTACTGGCATTGTTTCCTGGAACAGACCCAGGCCTGAGGCACAGCCCTCCTGCCTTCCTCCCACTCTCAAAGCAAAAATGCCCATTAAAAGAGAGAGAGCTGGGGAGGAGGTGAGGTATGACTGGAGGCCCCATCAGCTGCTTCCTGGGATCCAGCTGCTTTTGTTGTCTGGGTCTAGACGCTGTGTCTAGGATTCCTGTGGTGATGTCAGGTTCCACTTCTCCACACCCACATAGTCCTTTTGCACTGGGTGTTTAGTCTCAGGTGCTCACCAGCCATGTCACCACCACCTGTTTAGAGAAAAGTCCATACAAATCCTTGGGCCTTTAATTGTTTATTTATTTTATTTCTTTTTTTTTTTTTTTTAGTTTTTTAATATTTATTTATTAGTTTTCGGCGGACACAACATCTTTGTTTATATGTGGTGCTGAGGATCGAACCCGGGCTGCATGCATGCCAGGTGAGCCGATACTGCTTGAGCCACATCCCCAGGCCATATTTATTTTAAATTGATTAATTTATTTTTATTTCATATTATTTTGGTATGGGGGATTGACTCCAGGGGCATGCAACCACTGAGCCACGTCCCAAGCCCTTTGTATAATTCATTTAGAGACAGCTAAGTTGCTTAGCACCTTGCTAAATTGCTGAGACTGGCCTTGAACTCCTGCCTTGGATTGAGGTGTGCACCACCGTGCCGAGCACCATTTTTTAATTAGTTTTTTTTTTCTTTTTCTTTTTTTTTCTTTTGGTGCCAGGGGTTGAACTCAGGTGGGCCTTGCTTTTGCTGAGGCTGGCTTTTAACTCACAATCCTCCTGTCTCAGCCTCCAGAACTGCTGAGATCACAGGCGTGCATCAATGCACCCGGCTAATTAGTTTGTTTTTAATGTTGGAAATGAAGAATCACTTTCTCTGGATACAAGTCTCTTACCAGACATACAATTTGCAAACATTTCTCCCATCCTGAGGGCCCTCTTCTCACTTTCTCGATGGTCTCCTTTGCAGCACAGAAGTTTTAGTTCTGATGAAGTTCACTTGGTCTCTTCCTCCTTTTGTTGCTTGTGTTTATGGCCACGGCTCACTCTCAGTGGCTAGGTGGCTGTGTTAATGTTGTGACCCATTTCGCTGACCGTATGCATGGGTGAAGGAGGACTCCAGCTCTGTGCGTTGGCAGGGGATGCCCAGCTTCCCCAGAACCATTTGATAAGAATGCTGTTCTTCCCCTCATTGAATCGTCCTCACATTTTTGTGTTAATTCACTCGACCATCCACCAAGGACCGAAGAGAATGGAAGCTGATCCAGTCAGCATGCTGTTCCAGGCCAGTACCAGAGTGGGGCAGGCAGGCACCCAGCAGGACAAGCCGCCTCTTCTGAGCACTTTGCAAACATCTCTGGTCACCCTCATAGCAATGCCCTATGGGTAAAGCCATTATTCCTTCCTGCAGGAAAAACAGGCACAGAGAGGTGACATGATTAGGGTGAGGGCATCTGGCTGGGGTCAAACCCCAGAGGGTTGGCTCCCAAACATGCAGAACATAGCTCCAGCCATTTCTCCAGTTCATGGAGAAGAAAATGCTACTGTTTTTAGAGAGGAAACAGCAGCATCTGCATGGCAGGACTGGGTGGGCATCAGGGTCCACCTGGTGGGACTGGGTGGATGTCAGCATTCCTGTGGTAGGACTGGGAGGGTGCCCAGCTCTGCTGTCCTGCTCAGCTGCCAGGTCCCAGGTCAGCAGAGGGCCTCACAATTCAGGCTCTGTAGCTGGGTGTGGTGGTGCATGCTTATAATCCCAGCAGTTCAGGAGGCTAAGGCAGGAGGATCACAAGTTCAAAGCCAGTCGCAGCAAATTAGCAATGTCCTGAGCAACTTAGCAAGACGCTGTCTCAAAATGCAAAATAAAAAGGACTAGGGATGTGGCTTGTGATTAAGCACCCTGGATTCAATCCCTGGTACCAAAGAAAGAAAAAGAAGAGGAGGAAGAAATCTGGGGCTCAGTCTTGAACACAGCAGGTGTTGGAGGCTTCCTCAACCCCACTTAGGTCTAGCCGCCTCTCCTGGAAGGGTTTGAACACAGGGAGCCACAGGCTTGGGGGCCTGTGCACAGACTGTGCCCTCATGAACACTCTGGGGCTGTGGGCCCCTCAAATGCAGCCTTTCCCGAAGATGCTCTCGCTCAGACAGGAAAAGCAACACGTGAGAGTCCACATGCAGGACACTGTGGTCATCCATACTCAGGAAAGGGAGACACTCCAAATAGTAAAGGCTGATGCTGGCCAGCTGCCTCGTCAGAGCGCAGTACAGGTGACCTTCAATTCTGAAGGGGAGGTGGTGGGTGCCCAGCACCAGCATCCACCTGACTACCGTGGGATTACAAATTTGTAATATAGGCCCAAAGGAAATCACACCCCATCCCTGCAGGGTCTGTTGCCCTGTAGAAAGTATCAAGAAGAAGTCGGCCAAAGGCCCTTTTCCACAAGAGACACCACTCGTGCCCTTGTACTGTGACAAATCGCCACAACTAGTGGCTGACCACCAAGCTTACCAGCCCACACCTCTCAGGGTCAGACCTCTGAATTGGGTCTCGACTCAAGTGGCCACCAGTTTAGTCCCTTCTGGAGGCTCCAGGGAAGAAGCCAGTTCCTTAGAGGCCATCTGTTTGCCGGGCTCATGGCCCCTCCTGCCAAGATATCACTCTGACCTCTGCTCCCCTATTCCCCCTCGACTCTGAGCCTCCTCCTCCCTTACTAGGACCCCACCCTCCCTGAACTAATAATACACACGAATCAGAAGGCAGGCTGCAGAATAAGCTCCCATCTGGGAAGTCCATCCTCAGCCACACCCAGAGAGTCCCTTGGCACAGAAGGTCACGTCCCAGGACTAGCGGGGGACATCCCTGAGGGCCACTGTTCTGTCCTCCATACTTCCAAGCAGCCTTCCTCTTCCAAGCAGCGCGCAGAGCCTGACTTGCAAAGGACCGAGAGCTGTTCTCCTCTTCACAGGCCTGGGAAAGACCACCCCCCCTGGGCGGGGCAGCGCCTCCAGGCTTGGCCCCGCCTCCAGGCTTGGCCCCGTCTCTGAAGGCACTGGGGTGGGGGAGAGCCAGAGTGGCTTTGGCCTCGCTGCTTGCATGACAATGGCAGCCACCCCGTGATGAGCCCTCACGCTGGAACAAACAGTGTTCTCTTTTTATTCACAAGGAAGTGAAAGCTCAGGGGAGCAAATGGACACCCTGTTGCTGAAAGCTCAGTCCTTGTCCAGATGCCAATCCAGTAAGGAGAATGCGGTTTTGAGAAAAAGGGAAAGGAGGTGTACACAGGGGGCTCCTGTCCCAGAGGCTGTGCTTCTCTGCCCGTCAGCAAGAACAGGGGGCTGTTAAAGAGGTGGCTCAAAGGCCACCCTCCAGGTGGTCTCTGTTGCAGCTGTAATTCACCTGTTAATTTGGGAGGTCTTCTGCTGCCACCCCCAGAGTCTGGATTACCCCATTCCTGTGGTGTGTGTGTGTGCTCTGCCTGCATGGGGGGAAAGGTCATCCTGTGATTAGGGAGGGAGAGGTTAGGGAGGAGCAGGGGGAGAGGAGGAGAAAGAATCAGGTCCATTTTAAAACTCAGTGGCAGTGTCAAGGGCTAATTCAGAGCATGAGTGGACCCTGCTACAACCCCAAGGTCCTACATCTGGGGGCCCTCAAGCCTGCATAGTTGTTAGACTTGATCTGCTCTCCCCATCCACAGGACTGCTCACCTCCATCCTGCAGTCCTGTGGGTGCCAGCCAGAGGCACTGGGCCCTCAAATCTGGCAGGAGAGTTGTGGGCAGCGGATGCAGCCCACTCCAGCTTCTCCAGAATGCAGGAGCCCTTCGAGGCAGGAGCCATGCTCCCCTGACCTTGCTCAGTACACAGTAGGTGCCCGAAAATGGCCTGTTCCTCTGCCTTATTCGCCTCTGTGAACATATGGGCCCTGGGCACAGCCCACCTGGAAGGTCTTCAGCAGTTCCTAGGCCTCCTTTACTCTGGAGAGGCAAAGCCAGCCTCTCAAACCCTTGGTGCTCCCCACCCTCTAGGCTGCTGTCAAGCCAAGATTCCTTTGTCTTCCACCTGGAAGCTTCAGGGATCTGTGAGCCTGTGTGCACTGGATGTGTCCTGAGCTTAGACAAGGAGCTATACCTATTGCCCTTTGTCCTGCAGGGAGGGGAGGTGGGGGAGCCGGTCTGCTCCCTGCCTAGCATTGAGCAGGCATGGTGGCTGGTGGTCAGGTAACTACTGTCTGCCCAGATATGGGGCACAGCTTGGCTGAAACACTGAAGTGCAGTCCCAGTAGCTTTCAGATCAGGAGACCAGGAAGGCCACCTCCCCTGGGGCCCTGCTGCAGGGCACAGAGGAGGTTTTCCAGGGTTCTGGACCTGTGGGCCATGGGGCTCTTCCTGCTCAGGACAGGGAGTGGGCACTGGCAAACCCACCAGGCACCAGTGGATTCAGAGCAAGGACATTGCACCAAGGCTTGGGAGGTGCTGGTGTGAGCCCTGCTGGGGGAGAAAGGGGAGGTGGCACCCAGAGACCAGAAAGGGCTCCCAGTGCCACAGGGTGCACAAACCTTCCTCTGGTGGCTCTGATTCTGGGGCTATGGGTGGTGCCTCCCCCCTGCTGGATGCTGTGTGTGAAGGGGGTTGGGTCCCCTTGCCTAGAGATGTGGTCACTTTTCATCACCCCCCCTGGTGTGGGGCAGGAGGTATTGACCCCCATAGCCCCACTACTCCAGGGCAGCCCCTCCCAGTCTCCAGAACGAACATTCCTTGTTGAGCTGTGACGTGGCCCAGCTGTGACATGCCAGGTACAGGGGAGGTAAGTGGGCTCTGCCAGCCAGAGCTAGGCAAGTTCACAGGAAGAAGGAGCCCCGGGGTGCAGGTCCCTGTGAGTCAGTGACAACAGGGCATTGCCCAGCTCGTGAGGCATCTCCACATTTGGCCTGGAGGAAGCTGGGGCTGCAGGACCCCGACCAAGCCCAGGTCCAGGGACAGGGTCCCCTCATAGACAGTCGCCCCACCCTCCCTGAACTAATAATACACACGAATCAGAAGGCAGGCTGCAGGCCCTGGCCATGCAAGGAGAGAAGAGCGGAGCCTGCCCTGGCCTGTCCCCGCTGGCCTTGCCCGAGAGCAGCAGGGCTGCTGGGCGCCAGCAGGGCCTATATTGAGAGGATGAGCGGGCTGGGGGGAATGGCAGGCATGTGCCCAGCTGTCCCCACCCGCCCTGCCCTGGCTGCCTGCAGAGAGGGCTCTGCCGCAGCCTCTTCCTGCCCAGGCTCCCAGTCAGCCAAGGGCTGCAGAGAGACCCAGCCCTGTGCTCTGGCCCAGCCAGGACCACGTGGGGACTGCCCTCGAGGAAGGACAGGGATGCTCACAGGGACCAACAGCATGAAGGGGAACCCATGCAGGTCATGGAAGACAGAAGAGTCAGAAGCCTGCTCAAGGAAGGGGCAGCCCCCTCATCAGGGGACTGGCTGAGGTATCTAGAGGTGATACCTGCCTCTGTCCCTCCATCCCAGGAAGGAGCCTCCCAGGACACACCACTGGACAGCAGCAGGAGATGTCTGCTTGACAAGACACTTCCTAGTCCCACCAGCCTCGGTTTCCAGATCTAATAAATGGGAATACTTCGGGCTCCCAGAGGGAATTTTCCCCACCTGTCAGCTAGCAACCCTGGTGTAAGGAACTGTGTAGGTTCTGGGGCCACAGTACAAGAGAAGCGTGAGCCCTGCCCTCAGGGAGCACCGCAGACCAACAAGGCCCAGGTGAGAGACCTGGGCCTGATAGGGTGTGCAGCAGCTCAGGGCCCAGCCACCTTGCCCCCTGGGCAGGTGCACCATCACCTTCTGCACAGGGACCAGTCAGGAGCACACAGCTCTGTGCAGAAGTCCAGAAACCTGAGAGGGGTGGAGAGCTGTGAGCCTAGCCTTCTGCAACAGGTGTGGAGGCACAGGCGCAAGGGCTGAGCCTCCTGCCAAGCCCCCAGAGGAGGGACAAAAGAAGGACAGCCTGAGCCTGTACCATGGCCCCTGGACCACCCAGGTGGGGTTTGCAGGTTCCTTCTCCCCCAGCAGGAGACCCCGGAGGTGCCTCCAGGGCCTCCCTGGGCTCCAACATTTGTGTTTAAAACTGTGCTTTCTTACCCCAGGAGGTGAGCAAAAAGAGAATAGGACATTTGTCAGTGTCCCTCTGCTTCCTTCTAGAATCAGGCAGAGCATGTGAAAGAGGTCAACTGGGCCAGGAGTCTCAGAACAGAAGCCTGTGCCTGCATGGGCCTGATGCTGTCAGCTGGCCCTCAGGGTTCAGGGAGCTGTGCAGGGGCCCCAGGCTCTACCACCCTGTGCAGGCAGGTCCAGGCCAGGCCCCAGCTCCTTGTTTTGAAGGCAGGACTCTTCTGGAGGACAGACCAGACCCAGCAGGCCTCTTCCCCATAAGGCACATGGGCCAGGAGACAGCAGAGGGCCAGCGTCCAACCTGGGGACCCAAGTGCACACTTCAGCTCTGGCCTTCCGTCCCCCCAGGGTGTAGCAAGAAGATGACTCCTGGGCCCCTCCCAGAAGGAAGGAGACCAGGATCCTCCATCATTCAACACCCACAGGAGGACTCAGTATGGTCTCAGAGCCCAGGACTCCACATAGCTGGTTTAGATGCACCAAAGACCCACTGAATTACAGAGCCCTGGGGAGGAAGAACCTGATATTTCCAGTTTCCCTTTCCTGGAAGGGAGACTGGGCCCCTGTGGGGCTTGAGGTTTTGACCCCCTGGCCCTCTTCAATGACTTTGGAAAGGCTTCTGTACCTATCTTAGGCCAAAAAAGGGTACCACCTCACTCCCCAGGAGCCAGGGGCAAGCTGTGCTGGACACACTGAGGTAAAGCGCTGTCCGTGGGTCCCTCTCATCACAAACAGCAAGACCAGAGCTACTGGTCTGTTGCTGTGATCCCCAGCCAGCAAAGCTGGCACAGCACCCTCTTTACAGATGAGGATACTGAGGCTCAGATACACAGACAGATGGCGTGAGGGAGTGCCACCTGCAAGCTGGCAGTGCCAGCGTCCAGCTGCTTGTGTGCTAGCCCGTGCTCCCTTGGACTCCCTTCCTGCCACCGTGTGCTCAGGAGCCTGCTACCTGGGTGGGGCAGCTGTGGGGTCACCCCCAGGTGCCTGAGTACAGCTCCTCAGCCCTCCTGCAGCTGCCCATGCACCAGGCCAGTGGGTCCTAGTGGGTTCTCTGCTCCCTTCCCAGCTGGCCCTCTGTGAGGCTGGCAGCTCCCCAGCCCTGAAAGGCTGCAGCCTAAAGTGCCTGGTTATTAAAAAGGCAGAAGAGCTCCTGATAAGAGAGGGATGGCTTTACCATTCCTATTTAGACATCCGAAACACTCCCTCGTCCTCACCCTCTGCCACCAGATTCCCCTCCACCCGCGGGAAGGCTCATTTCACCACTCAGACGGAGCAGGCGCTGATGTAAAAATAGAGGCTGGCGGAGGGAGCTGGCACTGTGACTCACTGGGGTGGCAGGCTCCGCGACAGCTGTGCCTCCCCTCCCCCTCCTCTTCCACCTCCCAGTCCCCTGGCCCCTCCTCCCCTCCACCCTCCTCCCCTTCCTTTCCTCTCCCCTTCCCATCCTGCTCCTCCTCTCTTTTCTCTGTCCCTCCCTCTCCCCTTCCACTTCATTTTCTGCCCCCTCTCTCTTCCCTCTCCTATCCCTCTTTTCTATCCCTCCCTCT